CTAAAATGTTATGTGACTGAAGACACCAACATGTCTCTTAGGAAAGATGATGTTATATTCATTCTCCATCCATTACTTATATGAATGGAATTACTGAATCCAGATACTTTGTTATAATTGTTGAGTATCATTGAGCTGGTATGTATAGCTGACCCTCCAGTGGATTTTTAAAGGCAGTAAATCATAAATGAGGAGATTGTTCATTTTTCTTCTAAGGAACAACAGGAGGATTTGAACAGCATACCTTTGGGTTGGCAGTGCAATTCCTTACCACTAAACCACCAGAATTCGCTTCAGATAGAGTTGTTGTTATTGTTGTTATGTGCTGTCGAGTTGCTTGCGACTCATAGCAACCCTATGTACAACAGCCCTAAACTCCGCTCTGTCCTGTGCCAATCGCACTGTCTCTGACACTCCCATCCCAATTATCCCAGTCACTGAATCAATCCACCTCATAGAGGGCCTTCCTCTCCTGCGCTGTCCCTCCACCCTCCCCAGCATGATGTCCCTCTCCAAGGACCGGTCTCTCCTCACAACATGTCCAAAGTATGTTAGATGGAGCCTCAGAATCCTTGCCTCAAAGGAGCCACCCGGTTTAACCTTTTCCAGGACAAATCTGTTTGCTTTCCTAGCGGTCCATGGTATTCTTAATACTCTTCTCCAGCACCACAGCTCAAAGGCATCAATTCTCCTTCTATCCTCCTCGGTCATTGTCCAACTCTCTGATGCATAACAAGTGATTGCGAAGACCATGGCCTGTATCTGACGCACCTTAGTCTCCAGAGAGACACCATTGCTCTTGAGTACTTTGGAGAGGTCCCTAACAGCAGACTTTCCCATGGCAATGCGCCTTTTAATTTCCTGGCTGCTGGTGCCAAGACTGTTGACTATGGAGCCAAGCAAACTAAAGCTGTGTACAATCTCAATCTCTTCACCATCCATCCTGATGCTGCCAATTGGTCCAGTGGTGAGAATCTTTGTCTTCTTGACATTGAGCCTCAATCCATATTGTAGGCTGCAGTCCTTGACCCTCTGCAGCAGGTGCTTCAGGTCCTCCTCAGTTTCAGCAAGCAGGGTTGTGTCATCCACATAACGCAGGTTGTTGATAAATCGTCCACCAATCTTGACCCCACATTTCACCCCATAGAGCCCAGCCTCCCAGATAATCTGTTCTGCATATAGGTTGAAAAGGTATGGAGACAGGATGCATCCCTGGTGTACACCCTTCCCAGTTTTGAACCATGCAGTGTTCCCTTTCAGATAGAGTAGTTGGATTTAAATAAAATGCTAAGATTTTGTTTGTTTGGTGAATAAATTTTATGCAGTAGTTGGTCCTGTGGATTGTATTTTGTAGTGGGGGAAGAGGAAATGTATCTGTTATTGACTAGGAGAAGGGACTGAGGTAAATGAAGTGGTAAGGGTATACTCTATGGTTACCTTTCTTATGAAAGCATGCTCCCAAACTAGTACCATGAACACTTTATTGAGACTTAATATAATCTTTAGTTATTGGAGTAGTTATCTGATCCTAACCACTAGATTATCTTTCTCTTGCTTACTTTTATAATTCAGTAATATTTACTCAAAGGCCTGGGTGGTGCAAGAACTTTGCAACCAGCTGGAAACAGAAAGGTTGCTGGTTTGAACCCATCCACTAACTGCTTAGAAGAAAGGCCAGGTGATTTGCTTTTGTACACATCACAGTCAAGGAAATTATTTGAAATAGTTCTACTCTGTAACATGTATGGTTGTTTTGTTATGTTATGGTGTTAGGAGGCCAATACCACGGCATCCACCACTACCACCACCACCATACAGTCAAGGGTTTCTATGTGAAAGATAGTAATTGTGTGGCATCTTATGAAAGTGAATTAAGGACAGGCCTGAAAGTCCAGGGCCCTATTTTTGAGTTCTGGCCTTAGCCATGTCACTGACTAGGGGTGTTCAGTGGCCTTACTTTTTTTTGAACCTTGTATTCTTTCTTACCTTCCTCTTTCTCCCATCACCATGATCATCACCATACACTATCCTGTGTTGCCCATTGTCTAAGCTCTAGTAACTACACATTGATGAAATTGATATTATCAGCTCCACTTTCTAATTGACAAAATAGATGCTGCAGAGAGATTGGGTGCCATGTTTAACATAGTTAAAAATGGCTGGATAAGCATATGAACGTAGATCTGTGCAGTGTCTAACATTATCTGTCTTCTCCTGAACTTGATTTTCACTTAGAAGTCTTTCAGGAAGTTCCACTCTTAATGACTATCATATTTTCACCTATAGCATACTCATGAAAAAAAATGCACACAGGCACACAACTCTCACGTCACACATAGGGCACTAACCCAGGAGGGATTGTAAAGTTTGCAAAAATCAACATTTATAATATATGCGTTAGTTATGTAAAAATTTGGTGTATCACACCTCCTCAAAATCAATGTTGTTGTTGTTGTTAAGTGCCATCCAGTCGCAGGCGACTCCTAGGGACCCTATGAAGGAGAGTCCTCGATGCTTGGGTGCCTTCCATCCTCTCTCCAGGTTCATAGGGTTTCCGGAGGCAAGCTATTATGGAAGTGGATGCCACTCCTCCTTCCACACTTGTTTAATCGGGGAGCTCCACCCCACTCTCAGTTCGCATTGGGTAGCCAACCATTAACACATTTGACACATTAGTGTCACAGTGTTCAGCCTCACAGCAACCACAAGTGACCGGGGTACAGCAACTTGTACACCAGGGCTATTCGACCTAGAGGAATGTTTGAACGAAAACAATTCAAGACGATAGTAGAGGCAATATCTCTAATGACCAAGAATCATAGTGTGGTTCTGAGTATTAACATAAAAAGCTCACAGACCGCCATAAGGGTTACGTCATCGTAGCTGTCATGGATGAAATTACTGGGTAGAAATGCTGAATGTGGCAGCCAAATGAGGAGTGTGATGCGTCTTAGAATCGTGGAAGGAAACCAGGATTCTGTTTCTGGATCTACCTCAAGCTTTCCTTGTGCATTTGGGAGAGCAACTCCACCACTTTGTCCACACGGTGAGGTAACCCAGGACCCACTTACGTGCACTGTTTTACGAAGGAAGGCGGTTGGGCATGCGGATCCAGAGCCGTGAGACGACAGGGAAGTGTGCTGTTAGAGAGTGAAGTACCTGCGTCAGTCGTGGAGCAGTAGGAACAACGCAGGGATTGGGCAAAGCAATTTCACCTTTGACATAGTTCCTCCTTGTCACAACAGGATTCGAACACACACACCGATAAGCTGCAACTGCAGCTCTAAAAGCTCAGTATCTCCACTCCAGCTCTTGGGAGCGACTGCTGCTTTTTTACATGTCCTGGGAACCACGGGCAGACATGAATTTACTATCCTTGGGGACAGAGCAGCTCAACTAAGGATCCTTGCTGACATTTGCCATTCTTTAAGCACCATAACCTAACCAAAGCAAAAGTAGTCCAGATGAAATCACAGCTCCTAACAAAACCAGCGATGAGCTTCAGTTACTCTTCTTGACTTGATTGTCTTTTAAATTGTGTGATCTACCCCCACCCGCCTCACCCCAGCCTGTGGTGTTACCCAGTAACTGTGGTGATGAAGGAATAACCTCTCTTCGTGGGGCTTAGGCAGCCGCGTTAAGCGCTCTAGCATGTTATTGGGATCCTTCTGCACAGCTCTCCCCCAAGGCATTTGAAGCATATTGTTCATAGATTTGCGTTAGGATTGCTTATGTTGCAAATTTTTTAAACAAATAAAATATCTGAATTGCTGACGTGTATAGTTCTACATATTGAAGCGAGCGGGTCAGCACGAGGTTACAGGAAACTTTAAGGTAAATAGTGGCCTCAGGAGAAAGACCCAGCCCAGTCAAAAGCGTCACCAGTCTCTCTCCAGAGCAGGCGGGTTAATTTTGGCTTTTAACGCAGCACGACCCCTGCCTGGTCGACGCAGTGCAACACCCCTGCTAAGGCTGCTGGCCGGTGACAGTGTTCCGGGGACGAGGACCCCAGCGCGCGAGGAGACATCTCAGCGGGAACATCCCGCACAGCCCGGTCCCGAGCCTCCTGGGGACGTGGTCACTGTTTCTCTACAAATCATCTCCGTGCTTTGCGTCTGATGCACCGAGTGTAAACTGCTTTCCCTAGAAATTTCTGCATCCGAAACACTGGGGTCCGAAGAAGGGGATTAAAAGTGACAAAGAAAGGGGGAGGAGGCTTCGGAGAGACCTCCGGGGGGCGTGGAGCAGGCGATCCCCCAAAGAGGGAACGAAAGGGGCAAGAGCATCCCCGAAGTGCGTTCGGAGGGGAGCAGTGGGTTAGGAAAGGAGGGGCGCGGGGCCGAGCCTGGGGGGGAGGTGGAGGACAGGGGGGCTGCAGCGCTGCTAGCCTGCGGCTGCCCCGCGCCACAGCTTCCCGTCTCCTGCGCCGCCGCCGAGGGAAGCGGGCGTCCAAGC